TAACATTTAATTATTGCTATTTATACATTATTGCAGAGCTTACGGCTATACATTATACTGCTGGGTTGAGTGGAGAAATAACAGTATGGATATACAAGGGAGGACGCTTTCATTGAAGATAATGGGTGTGGCCTGCTCTTTTGCATGATATCAGATGACAGGTAAAATGCTATTTTAGTAATAAACTGAAATTATGTAGGATCCTTAAAAATATCACTATATAACAATATAATCATAATATGATAACTTGTCTCCATAGAATTTCCATTTAAATTAGGGTATTTGCCATTGGATTCTTCACTATTTGTCTTCCCTAGGACAGTGTTGGATGACTTTGGTCGGTATCTTCCGAATAATCTGTGTAGCTTGTCCCACCGCTACAATATTCTCCTATTGAGGTTAGCTTTCTAGCAATCAAAGTAGGTATTTATTATATTTAACATCATGGTTATTCTGGTTTCTCACCCTGTTCCTTAGCATACGTTATTATATCAATTAGGTCTTTAACCTCTTTGCGCTGCCGCACGCCAATTTGTGGCCTCCTGGCGTCTGGGCCTTGATGCCAACCGGCCACACATTTGCGTGCAATTAAGAAAAACATATGTGCTGAGATTCTTCCCCTCTCCAGTCCTTTACATGTCACCATATCCACACGTCGACCTAGTCATAGTGAAAAACCCATATACAGTCGGCTCTGGAGTTTCCTCTGCTCAAATATACCAATTTTCATTTAAATTTGCAGTAAGTCATGTATACTCAAATGTTCATATTTATGGCAAAATTGTTAGTTGTATATGCATTTTGTTGGCTTCATGTAGACAATAGCTCCTGAAGAAGCGACGGTTGGTCGCAAAACACGTGGAGTATTGAATTTCTGGTGAATAGGAGCACCCCAATAGTTGGAAGGTTGTGCCAGGGTTTAGAGCTGTTATGCCCTTCCAAACACAGAATTTTCACATCCACTGTGGGGGGGGTTGATTTAAACCCAACGCTCCATCATCTGTAATTCTACAGAAGCACTGTTTATTGTATTTTGTGTTATGTTTGATGTTTTTATGATATCCAAAATAAATTATATGACTTTTAACCTATTCCTGTGTCCCATATGTGCCTATAAATTCCATATATAGTGTTCTCTTTTTTTTCGTGTTATACCTTAAAGCGGTAGTAAATGCTGAAAATAACATTCCGGGACCCTTCAAGGTAATGGCATAATGCATCGCATACTAGCACATTATGAAAAATTTTCCTTAAAATGAAGCCCTATAGCAGTGCGCTGTCACCGCTGACAGGGCTTCCATTTTCACCAGATGTTCCTTTCAGGTTCGCAGGCCCCCTGCACATTTGTGCATGGGCACAGGAGGTACAACCGTAGCACAGCACTCTGAAAGGATAGCATACTCAGTATTCTGTCCCTTCAGAGCACAAAGAGCATGTGCTGGTGACGTGCAAAACATGTGAATATCTCCTAAATGGTGCACGTTTACGAGATATTGATTTTCAAACAACAACAAAGAAAAATTCCAGGCTCATTTACCAGCCAACAGCAAACCGAATTGTCCCATTTATCAGGTCATGTTAAAACCAGATTTAGTTTGCACACATTTGCAAATATTTGCGTAAACTGCAGGGTCACTTCACGGCACCCCAGTGTACTGCAGTCCTAACTCTATAAAATTTGAGAGGCTCCATAATAGGAGCACATATATAATAATGGATAGATTAGGGCAGGTATGCCTGGACGGAGCCCATCCCTCCTTAAAGGCACAGAACCACACTGGACACCCAGTAAATAGCACAATGGCAGTGAAGGCAGCTAATGCGCCCCTCACTAATTAACCAACAGTACAAACAAATGGCAACTGCCCCAACCTATAACTGTCCTTTGCAGCAAGAAGCACATGGAAGGGCGACACATGTCAAACAACAACAAAGAAAAATTCCCAACTCACTTACCATCCAGCCTTCAACAAACTGTCTAACAGTTCAGGTTAAAAACAGGGGTTTAGTTTGCACACATTTGCAAATATATGCGTAAGCTGCAGGGCCACTTCACGGCATCCCAATGTATTGCAGTCCTAACTCTATAAATTATGAGAGCCTATTTTTAGGAGCACTTCTATATAAGCATGGATATATTAAGGGCAGGCATGCCTGGAGGGAGCCCAGCCCTCCTTAAAGGCACAGGACACCCAAATATTTATTTTACCTACAGGTAAGCTTTAGCCCGTAAAGCTAACCTGTAGGTAAAAATTGCAAAGTGGAGTTTTTCTACTGCTCTAATGTATGCAAAACATAAATGTGAAGGGGGCCTAAACTTGCCCATAATTTCAGGGGAATTCCAACAGCCAAATGAATGGTGATAAAGTGAGGGAAGGATAAGAGCAGCAATGCCTGCTAGAAAGCCGCTTAGGAAAATGTCTACAGGGTACAGATTTTCTTAAAGGACCCATTCACAGCTATGTTTTTTAACACATACATATTATTTTACAACAACGGATGTACAAGGGTTAGCCATTGTTTAGAAATGGTGCTGGTTTACATCTGCCCAATGTGTTGACACTTTGATAAATCTATGTAGGTTATGATTTAAGAAGCATGTTACATAGTTAGTCTGGCTGAAAAGAGACAAAAGTCCATCCAGTTCAACCATTTAAAAAAAGAAAAAGAAAAAAGAAAAAGAAAAAAGAAAAAGAAAAAAAAAAAAAAGAAAAAAAAAGATTGATAATGCATATAAAGATGCATGCAAATGTGTAGGGGACATAGTGAAGATAATCCAAGGCGACTATTTAATCAAACCTTTTTTTTGTTTTAGAGGGAAGGGTTAAAACCTGTCAGGCAGTTTTTTTGATGTGTATGTTTTGGGGAATTTTCTACAGGAAGTTAGGGGAAGGCCATGCATGATTCATTTTTTTTTTTTTGTTTAACCAAACAATGACCCAATTCTACCATCCACACGTTCAAGGCAGATGGAGGAATCACTCCTGCTGAGTTATTGTATTCTGAATTAGTGTTGCCTACCATAGCCAGCAGAACCAGTCAATTGGGAAAAAAACTCACCAAGTTGGTTGTACAGAAGTCGATCAGTGCATCCAGCTCGGATCCGCGTGCAGACAGCCCATAGTAGTGAATGCAGACACAGTGGCTGCATGGACACAGTCACATGTCAAATTCTGGAGGCACCGATTCAAACGCAGACACTGTGCGCTCGGATCCGTTCATCCACTCCTGCTGCCCACATTTGAGATTTTGACATATGACTGTCCATGCAGCCGCTGGATCTACATCCACTTCTATGGGCTGCCTGCACGCAGCTCCAAGGTGGATGCAGACACAGCAAAACGCAGCTTTGCACAAACGATGCAACTCAATGTACATCTGAATAAGCCCTTAAATACAATTTAAGCATCGTAATAAATAATAACTTCTATCCTCAAAACACACAAGTCCATCATATGACTTATAACACAAAACCAGGGGCGGACTGATAACTCATGGGGCCCCCGGGCAATAAGGGATCATGGGGCCCCTGTGTCCTTGCCCACACTCAAAGCACACCAAAAAAGCCTATGAAAAAGGTACCAGGGGAATTTCATGGGGCCCCCCACTGACCCCGGGCCCTCGGGCAGTGCCCGAGTGCTCGAATGGTCAGTCCGCCCCTGCACAAAACACACCAGCAGAGTGTGGCAAGATAACACAATGGTAACTGCTGAGCAGACAAGAGAATGAACATTAACAAGAGAGCAGCAGAATAGAACAGTATTCATATCAACTTGCATTGCAGTAACTAATAATAAAACTAAGACGAAACTGTTACAACATATCCAGCCAATTTACACACTAGAGGACTATGCTGAATATACAGTATAAGGCTCCATGCACACTAGTGTTTTTTTAAGCTCCTAGAAGCTGTTAATAGCATTTTTTTTTTGCTCAAAAAAGCTAAGTAGTGTTATCCTATGTACACAGTCACATGTCAAATTCTGACATGCAGGCAGGAGTGGATATATATGCACACTGCTATATCATATATATCCACCTACAGTATATATCCACTCCTACAGGCAGCAGTGGATATATATGCACAGATATGCACACTGCTTTAGGCTATCAGCGTTTTTTGAGCTTAAGCTTCTAGGAGCAGAAAAAAATTGTTTTGTAGCGGGTTTTTTTTTTTTAGCATTGTTTCCAGCAGAAACAAAACGCTAAACGCTCCTAAAACACTATTAAAATGCTAACTTCCTAAAACGCTTCTAAAAAGCTACTAAAAATGCTATTACCAGCGTTTTTTGTTCAGTGTTTTTTTTCTGTGTTTTTTGAGCTTAAAAACTGCTAATGTGCACAGAGTCTTAAGAAAAGAGAAGGCAATTAAATCCAGGAAACAGTAAAATTCCCATCCGCCACCTCTTGGGAATTTCATGACTGTTTTCTGATGTTGTAAACATTAAAAATTATGTAATGCATTATCAAATCCCTTTTTACAAGGAACTCCCATAATTTCCCGCACTCACTCTGAACTTTAAAATAAAGCTAATAGCTGGGGTGTCTGTCTCAGCTGCTGAAATAAGACAAAAGAGGAATAGAAGGAGCATTGTGAATCAGGCACAGGATTTACACTATATTGCCAAAAGTATTGGGACATTCCTCCAAATCATTAGATTCCGGTGTTCCAATCACCTCCATGGCCACAGGTGTATAAAATCAAGCACCTAGGCATGCAGACTGCTTCTACAAACATTTGTGAAAGAATGGGTCGCTCTCAGGAGCTCAGTGAATTCAAGTGGGGGTACCGTGATAGGTTGCCACATGTGCAATATGTCTATCCATGAAACTTCCTTGCTGCTAAATATTCTACGGTCAACTGTTCGTGGTATTATAACAAAGTGGAAGCAACTGGGAACAACAGCAACTCAGCCACAAAGTGATGGGCCACATAAAATGACAGAGCAGGGTCAGTGCATGCCAAAGCGCACAGTGTGCAGAAGTCAAAGGTTAAAGACCTCCAAACTTTGTGTGGCCTTCAGATTAGCACAACAACAGTGCGTAGAGAGCTTCATGGAATGGGTTTTCATGGCCGAGCAGCTGCATCCAAGCCTTGCATCACCAAGTGCAATGCAAAGCAACGGATGCAGTGGTGTAAAGCACGCCGCCACTGGACTCTAGAGCAGTGGAGACATGTTCTCTGGAGTGACAAATCATGTTTTTCTGTCTGGGCAATCCGATTATTTGTCTGGGTTTGGCGTTTGCCAAAAGAACGATACTTGCCTGACTGCATTGTGCCAAATGTAAAGTTTGGTGCAGGGGGATTATGGTGTGGGGTAGTTTTTCAGGGGTTGGGCTTGGCCCCTTGGTTCCAGTGAAGGGAACTCTTAAGGCATCAGAATACCAAGACATTTTGGACAATTTCATGCTCCAACCTTTGTGGAAACAGTTTGGGGATGGCTCCTTCCTGTTCCAACATGACTGTGCACCAGTGCACAAAGCAAGGTCCATAAAGACATAGATGAGTAAGTTTGGGGTGGAGGAACTTGACTGGCCTGCACAGAGTCCTGATCTAAACCCAACAGAACACCTTTGGGATGAATTAAAATGGAGACTGCGAGCCAGGCCTTCTCATCCAGCATCATTGCCAGACTTCACATATGTGCCTCTGGAGGAATGGTTAAATATTCCCATAGACACTCTCCTAAACCTTGTGGACAGCCTTCACAGAAGAGCTGAAGCTGTTATAGCTGCAAAGGTGGGCCAACTCAATATTGAACCCTACAGACTGGGATGCCATTAAATTTATTTCGTTATCTTTTTAGTAAAAAAAAAAAAAAAATAAGCCAAATTAGTTTATAACCAAAAATTATAATTTTTAAACTTTTTTTTTTTTTTTTTTATTTTTTATATTATTATTTATCTTTTTTTTTTTTTTACATACTGTAACTCTAGCAGTACAGTGTCACCATGGTGACACTGTACTACTTGTGGGGGGTGATGAAGATTTTTTTTTTTTTTTTTTTTACACTGATTGCTTTTACACCCATATAGGATGTAAAAGCAATCATTTCTCTGTCTCTCTGTCTGCATTCTTGCAGCCATTGAGAACTACTGAGTGAGCTGTGATTGGTCACAGCTTGTCACATGGTACAAGGCTGTTGTGAATAGCCTTGTACCATGTGACCTCTGTGATCATTCACAGATTTCACACGTAGTAAGCAATGATGTCACAAGTGACATCTTGCTTACTACTTTGCATGTGATCACAGATTGGCCAATCAGTGATCACATGATCGGGACATCGTACAGAGGTCCTGTCAGACGATCGGTGTTTCACTGGGTCCGGAGGACACAGCGGGCACCGGATCGCGGTGCTGCGCGCTCCTAGGAAACACGCACAAGCAGGATGCGGGAAGGCCGTTTATAAACGGCCACCTGACCCTGCAGTGCCACCGTCCGGCTGTTTATTTACAACGGCCAGATGGGAGGTGGTTAAGATCCAACCATGTTAGAGAAATACACATTTTAGGCATGCCACTGCTTAGGTGGCATATGCTTGGACACTGAAGTATATATTCCATAGCAAACCACACAAGTTAGTAAATTCAGGGTATATACACTATGTGTATCACAGACGCATAATAAATTCCATCAGCTTTGCTTGGTCACACGCAGAGTGATGGCAGCCATTCTTCTTTAGGTGTATGAGGCCTGTTGAAATACAGTGTTCATGTATTTTGTGCAACAACTACATCAGTATTCAGTAAAGATATATTCTTAAACCAGTAGATGGCAGTGTTCAAAAGTTTGTAGCTGCATCTATGGTATACTCTATGTCTTTTCTCTGATTAAAGTTTCCTGTTTTCCTTGTTGCAGTGAAACAGAAAAACACATGTGGACTGTGCACTGTTTGTCCTGTAGGGCTATATACAGAATTTCTAACATGGCCCATTACGTTTGCACTTTAGACTGCCCCTAATGTTTTGGGCCTTAGCCGAAAAGGCCTGCTAACCCAATATGTTGCCCTTATCTTTAAATGAATCAAATATCCCACTTTCTGTATGAATATGTATATTCATTTATATTTGTGAATAGTGGAAGTAGTACTTTTATCCATAAATGTCACTACTAGTTTTAGATTACTGTCCCTTTACGTTCAATATGTTTTTAGCAAAAGTGGTAATACAATCCAACAAAAGTGATGTTTCCAGGTGTAAATGCACAATTACAAAACTAGACATGCTTTACTGTCCCTTTAATGAGGTATGAGTGACACTGCCCCTAAAACAGGTGAGATAATTAAGCCTATGCTGCCTCTGGTGTCAGGCAGAGCTAGCAAGATTCATCCACCGCAATCGTCTATGGAGATGTCTACTGACCCTGGGGTTAAGGTAATACACTTTTTGTATTAAAAAAACAACAGATATTACAAGAAAAGTGCTCTTAAACAATACAATTCAGGAGTAGATCTAAAATAGCACTGAACGATATGTCAGAATGACTTGACTGTCCCTGGACAGCTTGGTCTTCAGGTAAATGTGGACAAAAATAATGGGAAAAATATGTGAATTTAAAAAAAATATATATATATATGAAAACATTTATTACATGTATTAACTGCATATAGTTCCTATAATATATGTTTCAATAGTTGTTCTTCAGTTGTCAGTGATTTTACTTTTATTTAATGAAAATAAAAATTTAGTGTATCTCTCATGATAATATTTCTATAGTCTCGGCATTAAAGAGTTAGGAACCAATCATACGGCTGTGGTCTATACTGGTGTGTCACCATGTGTTACTTTAATATGGGTCATGCATTATGAATGCTCTGGCAATGCATCTCAACAAACATGCACCTTTTTTTTTTTTTTTTTTTTTGCTGACGCACCACTGCGACATGTGTTGTGTGATGGCAGCTACTGCACAGTGCATTCAGGTGTTATTCACAATGAATCAGACTACACATTAAACTGTGTGTTACTGCGACATATGGGTGTGAAATGGAGCTTACAGCCTAATTACACTGTTCTGTGCATGCTGATAACATGCATTGCACATGCCTTTTCTGAGGGGTACCAGTCATCTCCAATTGGCTCCCAGTCATCTCCAATTGGCTCCCAACACATGTCAACGTAGTACATATAATGCAGTACATTGTGCTGCATTATCAAAAAATAAGCCAGGTACATTTTTTGGTCTAAAAACTTTGGTGAAAAAAAATTTTTATTTCCAAAATTGGTAAATAACGCAAATTGCCAATTTAGGTTTGTGCTATTGTTTTAAATATGTTAAAGTGAACCTTTGCTTTTCAATGCAGCACAAAGAGGTTTAATTTTTTTTAGTCGCTCTTACAGCTGCTTGCCTTCTTACTTACTCCCCTTCCTCCTGAATGACGGCAGTGGTGATTGGCTGCACAAGCTCCTAGGAATGCCATGTGGGGGTGGAAAAAAAATCCTCAGCCCTGTGTAGAGTAGCAACTCAGAGCTTACAAAAGACTAATGCAGGCCATACACGGGTTGAATTCCGAACAAATTTTCTTTAGAAAATCAGACATTTTGTGCGCTTTGTTTCGTACTCCTTTTTTTTTTTCCCCTCACATGATTTTCCCATCATTGATTCAAAATTAGTTTATTTTTCAAAAAATTTCCAACATGCTTGATCTCTCAAATTTGATGGTTGCATGAAAATCGGCTATTTCTGTGGCTGACTAATGGTGCGAAATTCGAAAAGAAAATTCTTAGAAAAGATTTTCTGAATTAAACCCGTGTATGGCCAGCATAAAGCTGGCTATACACTGATTGAAATTCAGGCAGGCCAGCTGGGACTGGCAAATAAGTGATCAGTGTGTGGGCTTTACAGAAGTCGATTAAACAATCAATATGTTGGAAAATTTTTATTGATCAGCCAATCAACTGCAGCCTCTGGTCAGTATATTCTGACAGCGGTAGGTGCCCCTGTCAGAATACAATGTCCCAGCAGAGGAATTCCTCCATCCACCTCATTTACGTAGATGGAGGAATCTGGAAGCAGGTTGAGAACTGCTTAGTTAGATAGGTACTGGCCCAGGCTGGGTTGGGTAGGGTAAATATACCTGGTATACCTGGGGTCTCCAAACTTTCTAAACAAAGGGTCAGTTTATTGACCTTCAGACTTTAGGGGGGCTGGACTGTGGCCAGCAGGAGTGGATATTTTCCTGGCATCAGTGGGAGTAAACATTGCCACATTCAGTATTAGGGTGGAGTATTAGTGCCCCATCACTGGTATCATTGGGAAGAATACTGCCCAATTATTGGTGCCAATAGGAGAAATGGTGACCTATTTTGTTGGTATCAGTTGGCAGAATAGTGTGTCTTATCAATGTAAGGAATAGTGCCCCACGGGCCAGATAAAGCAAGCAAAGGGCCACATCTGGCCGCAGTTTGGCGACCACTGCTGTATACCATTTTCACTGGCTTTTTGGAGCTTCAGTTGGACTTCCTGTGGGATAAATGAGTGGGAAACCTGGAGCCTGGGGTTTTTTGCTGTTCTAGATACCCGCATGTCCGTGTGTCTGTTACGCTCTTGATCCACTCCTAAAGGACCTTGGTCCCGAGTATCCCGGGTTGCCACCCACCATTTAACATGCCACCCGCTCTGAACTTTGTCACCACTAATGGATTCTATTTGCTGATGGTATGCCTGGAACACTTAGTAGTTCGTTAGGGAATATCAGCATTTGCTTCCTTTGTGACTGTCATCATGTAGCTAATTGAGTTCAGTAAAGACTGTTAAACTTGCCCTAAGCCTGGTCTAAAGTTACTAAAGGGGTGCATAATGGGTATGGCGTATACAACGGTCGTGGGCCTGTTTAGGCACGGGTCATTACTAATGACAACCAACTTCACTCAGTAGTCACCAGCAACCAATCGAGACGTGGTACCCTGTTAGGTGGCTGTCACTGCTAAAAATGACTGTTTCTACTCTCTCTGTTTAAAAAAAAAAAAAAAAAGACTGAAAAAATGGCAGATAAAGATCATTATAGCCTTTTGAATAGAGATTATTGTTGGTCAGAAAGCAGAGGTACATACAGTAGGTCCATAAATATTGGGAC